CAGACAGTCCAAAGGGGGAATCCGGGGCGCAGTTCAAAGTCCAAAACAGGGGGATCCATCCAAGACGATACAAACAAGGTTAAAATCTGGAATAGGATCCAGAACAGGGACAGGGAATAAAACCAAGGTAACGAGGTCAGGCGCTCCGAGCCCCAGATGGTCAGGACGCCGTGATGAACCTATGCCATCGGTTCTCATCAGTAACAAGATCTTATATTGAATACTGTATGTGACTTTATAGACCCACTCCCAGTGTAGGAGTCATATGTTGCCAGGGTCTAGTGTGAGTTAGTATTCTAGCTGAAGTTTTAAACATATTGCAACTTGTTGAGAAGTGAGGTTTGGATCCCATAGAGCAGTGGTTCTCAAACCTTTATTGGACCAAGTACCGACCCTGATCAAAGCATCCAAGTACCATCTACAAGTCATCTTCTCATATGAACTAAAGAAAATCTCAATGACCAACATGAGCACTCGCACACACTCACACACACATATCATAAAAATAGCACTGAGCACTTAGTTAATTTGTATCGGACCACCTTGTAGCCATTTTCTGACACTTGCTAACACTAGCAGTGCTGTCTGTGTCAGGTTCAGTGTCAGAGTGTCCGTGGCCAAGAGGATTACCATACATCTGGATTTTCCCGGCCATGTCCTCTATTTTGATCCTTATATCTCCGTCTGGGGGGAATTTTCAAATATGCAGAAACGTCTGGGATTTCGACCCCATTATTTTCACCATGAAGAATAATTAACAAAAGTTATAAAGATAGTTAGAAAGAGAGAATTTCTTAACTTCTCTAGTTCACTTCACAACTTACGTTATCATTCAGTTTTCGTCCTGTACTTGTATGATTATGTCATGAGAGAGTGAAATTGGGCATCAATATCAGTGTCTTTACTCAGTATGTGTAGTGCAGAAGCATTCCCTTGAAAGGGTCCCTATTTTGTTTCTCGTTTTCCTACTCTCAAACACAATGTAAGTGTAAATTCACAGCAGAACTAAAAATAACATTTCCATGTTGTCGAAGTGGCAGAGAAGACTGGGAAGCTGAATGTTTGTTGTGTAAGGTGCAGTTGACTTGCAAGCTCATGTTGACTCAGAAAAACACATAAAGGCAATTCGAGGAGAGAGTTTGTCAACCAAACTAACAGATTATTTTGTAAACTCTGGCAGCAAAACAGAGGATACTGTTATTGCAGCAGAGGGGATCTATGCATTTCACACAGTTAAACATCATCACAGTTACTTTACCAATGAACATTAAACATGGGATATTTTGAAAAGCCTCTTCATCCCATCCCTCTTCCCAGATAAGGTAACCCTAGTGGCCGATGTATAATCCTCCTTGTTCTCAATGGGTGTGCATGATCTATCGGAGCTTGCATCAGTACTCTTGGCATCTATTCCTTTCAGCCATGACATAATACTTGATTTTTACGAGGTATTCATTTTCGATTACTTGTTCTGTTGGCGAATGTGGCTCTAAGCTGTGTCTCTGAAAGCTCGAGAGGAGTATGAACGCTCAAGTATTAGGGCGTGCTGTATCAACGTAGCTAAGTACATAGGCTGCGTATTTGACACAAACTAATTTTATTAAAACAGAAAATATGAAAACCCGTCTCAAGCTTTCTGAAACCAATTAAGTAGACTACATATTAAAAATG